AATGCTAGTTTGAATAGATTAAAGAATTATCGTCAAGATAAAGTTTTAAAAACTTTATAGATGAGAAACGTCTGACCCTTCCAAAAGACTATCCAGAAACTCATACTTATTACCACCATAGTGGGAAACAGTCTTTCAATGGATATAGATTGACTATATTTTGATATATTTAACCCAAACAGACAGAATCTCTGAAATTAAGGTTTCAGTGAACGACCCAATGAACACCTCATCGCATAGATTAGTCCAAGCAAAATTGGCATGCTCTTTCTTTTCAAAAACGTTTGCATCAGAAAAATCAGTGATGACTGAAAAAAGTGAATTGGAAAAAGTTAGATGCTGAAAAATATGAGCAGTTACTGAAACAGCAACTCAGTCATATGTACATTGATAACAGTACTTTCTCTTAATAAAATGAGCTATGAAGAACTATTATATATATTAACCAAGACTGCATTTGAGTGTGCACCTAAAATATCTGTGGGAAAAAGAAAACTCACTTAAAACTCTGCATTACAACAACTTTGTAAACAAAGTAAGGATGCGCTTTGGCAATGGAAAATCCACGGGTGTCCCTCAGGCAATGACAATTCTATCAACAAAAAGGTTCGGTTTTAAAGAGTGAACTTAGACAAATTCAAAGACAATTAAACGCAGAAGAACAACATCCTCTGTATGAAAACATTATGAATGCTCATTGTGGTGATAATGCCACCTTCTATAAGATCATCCGCCGTCAAAGGCAAAGTGGAAAACGAATAATGGATTGTCTTATCGTTGATGATTATCACTTTGACAAGCAGGATCTTATTCGTGATGCATGGACAAACTATTTTAGTGAATTATCAACTCCGACAGAAAAATCAACAAACGAGCAATATCGCACACAAGTGGAGCTAGGCCGCATTTTGCTCCAGGAGTTAGATGAAAATGAGAGAAAAAGTGTATTTAATTTGACATTAATACCATTAGAAACTGTATATCAAAAATGAAAACTGGGAAAGCAAGTGACCAATTTGGAATTTCTGCAGAGTATTTTAAATATGGAGGCGATAAGACCGCCGAAATACTAACCTGTCTGTAAAATGGGGCATTTAGATTAAAACATGTTCCACAGTGTTTTAAGGAAGGCATTGTCTCGCCACTCTTCAAGGGACATGGAAAACCCTTACACTTACCAAAATATTATAGAAGGATTACAGTTTCCCCATCATGGGAAAGTTGATGGAGTCAGTGCATCTCAAACCCAAATTGCTGGAGGAAATCTTATCAATATTTTTTATATACTTTATAAGATATCTTATATAGTTAATAAGATATCTTATATAGTTTACAAGATATCTTTTATAGTGTATATGATATCTTATATAGTTTATAAGATATCTTATATAATTTTCTTTATAAGATATCTTATCAAGTATATGAGATATCTTATAAAGTTTATAAGATATCTTATAAAACTAGATTATATCAGATATCTTATATCTTATATGAGATATCTTATATCTTATATAGTATATGGGATATCTTGAAGTTCGAATAAATAGTTAAATGACTTGCCATATACTATCTTTGTCGATGCCTCATCGTCTTTTGATGTTGTTTGGCATGTCTCTCTGTTAAAACGGATATTTCAAAGTGGAATCTCTGGCCAAAGCTAACAGACTTTGACTGACTGGTATACGTATGTGATGTCGACAGTCCGTTGGGATGGCAAATTATCTACACCATTATCACACTGACTCCAGGTGTCCGGCAAGGAAGCGTATGGTCACCTTCTGTTTACAAACTCTTCGTTAATCCTCTTATTAATAAACTAGAAACTGGGAGTCTAGGTTTAAAAATCTAAATGTCTACGTTGGAACGCCTATGTGTGCAGTTGATCTGCTCCTAATATTTGAAAAACCTGAGGAACTTCAGACTATAATGAATTATACAACACATTATGCAAAAACAGAAGAATATGATATTAGCAAGGAAAAAACTAAAATTATGGTTTGGAACTCATCTTTAGATTGTGAAAACTGGAATCAAATGGACAAATCTCATATTGGCACAGAGGCTTTGGTAAGTGTTGATAATTATACACACATAGAAATAGATAGAGACCCCTGAATTAGAGGCAACTATAGGACTGTTGTTGGAAATCGTCTAAGAACTGTGAGACAGACTTCGTATGCCTTGATGGGCACAGGTCTACATGGTATAAATGGACTTAACCCAGAGGTTTCATGTGAAATATGGTCAACATATGTGGTTCCACGCTTGTTATTTGGACTTGAAATCGTGAATATAAATTCTAAAGACATTCATCGTTTGGAAATGTTTTGCAATAACTTTTTAAAACAAATACAGAACCTTCCTACTAGAGCATCAAATGCTGGAGCATATCTTCTTCTTGGTGAGTTGCCAATCACAGCTCTTTTACACAAAAAGGATTCTAACAACTTTTGGCTGCCTCTCTCTTCAAATCGTCACACTCGGATAGGGTGGTACCTGTTCAACGAAGCATGTGACGAGTTCAAACTTGATAAAAACACATTTATCCTTCAACTATTCATTTGACGTTTTCGTAGAACAAAGGTGTATCACAATTAAGCTCGAACAACACTGTATTTTGAAATAAACTATTTTTACACAGAGTAAATAAAGCGGATAAACTGTACGGCGAATAGCGGCAAATTGTTGTTTACTGTACGGGGATTAGAATAGGTACTTCGGTACGTTTTGCTATCATTGTTTCTTTGCTACGGGAGTATCTATATCCGGTGGTGATGCTACACAGTGAAGGTAGTGCCAAGGATTGGCATGGATGCCTGGTCTGATATCTGTATTAGCAGCTTTAAAATGTCACAATTTATTTTGGACTGCAGTTAATTTGAATGGTTTTCACGGTTACAGGATGCAGAAAGTTCGGTAGACTCTATAACCAGAAGCTTGTGTTATTTCCTCATTCCTTATTAATTCAAAGTCACTGGACCTTGACCTGGGGACAGGGCCTCAAAATAGTCCGAGGCGTCACACTGATATGTACTGATAGTAATGCAACTTGATACAAATATCATTGGTCTATCACACTAACTTAAGCAGAAAACTTAACAATTGTTGACGCCGTCGTCATCGTCGCCGTCGCCGGAAATAAATAAATAAATAAATAAATAAATAAATAAATAATCTTTATTTCAAGAGGATAATCCCATTAGTTAAAACTAATCTTCCTGAGAGTCCTCAAAATAATAATAACATATTTATAAGTACATACAATATTATAATGATATATTATACACAATATACAATTGTATCTAGATAATAATGAAAAAGCATATTAATTTGCACAATTGATGAAAAATTTGTAACATTTTGTTTTAAAAGCTACAAGTGTATTACTCATTTTTATTTCATTTGGTAAACTGTTCCATATTTGAGAACCTGAATATGTAAATGTTTTCTTTAAAAAGTTTGTTTTTGGTTTCGGAAGATTTAATAGTTTTTCATCAGCCGAACGTAAATTATAATTCTGATTACCAATAAAATGAAAGTTTTCTTGTAAATAGTTAGGAACCATATCGTTTAATGATTTAAATACAAGTATTGCCTTTTGATATTGAATGCGTTTTTCCACATTTAACCAGTTTAAACTATTAAACAACAAACTGGATGATGTCATTATGTCAGCTTCTACTATAACCCTAGCAGATTTCTTTAATAACTTATTAAGTTTATTTATTCCACTTTCATAGCAACTTCCCCATATATTGCAACAATAATCAAACAATGGCAGAATATAAGCATTAAAATAAATAATACGTATATGCATAGGTAAATATTTTCTTATCTTTTTTAATAAATTGATTCTATTTGATATTGTACATGACATTTTATCTATTTGCTCATTCCAATTTAGGTTTTTGTCGATCTATAAACCGAGAAGTTTTTCACAATCTACATTCTCTATTTGTTCATCTGAAATTTTGATATCTAAACTGTTCCCAGTTGAATAAAGCCTCTGTTTTGAACCAATAATCATTGATTTACACTTTTTGGCATTTAGTTTCATACAATTTTGCGAACACCAGTTTTCAATTACATGAATATCATTTTGAAGGTTACCGAAATAGAATATGTCTATGGTCAATGTGACATTCCACAATGATCAACCAAATCATGATGGTGTCCGTAAAACTTCCCAAGAGATTATTTCAATTTTACCATCAGCAATATCATAATAAGAAGGTGTGGTATGATTGCCAATAAGACAACTATCAACCATATAAAACAGAGCAAGAATGTCAACTACAGATAACCTTACGTCTTCTAGTAATGAGCAAGACTCATACCGTATGGGAAGCTATAAAAAGAAATAGCAAATAGTGAAACTCACAATTCAAACAGAAAACGAACGGCCTGAAACGAACATAATTATGACAGACGGCAACCAACGACAGAATCCTAGCTTATAAAAGCACAAAACGAATGTGGCAGTCACATATTTATGGCCACTCAACTCTCCCCAAACTGGGAAACATGTTTGATAGTACGACCTTATAATAAACTGTAAAAAAACAATAGAAAATGTATTGACTTGCAATAACTTCACTTATCACAAAACAACAAAGAACTCTTAGTACGATCTAATAGTATTCAAAATTGCGGAAAACTAGTTCATATTCCACTTTCAGATAAAAATACAGCAAATCACGATTATACAAGCAAGTCCAAAATACCAAATCAACTCAGAGAAATATATCCTATATGCAAACAGTGACACCGGATATTGATACTAGCTGAAGCGGAGAGAGATTGTCAAATTTTGTAATCCGGCACAGATAAGAATTCCAATATTTTATGCATTTGTAATTATTGCACTTGTCTAAAGCTTTGTATAATGATATGTTGTAACCTGTTCTCCAAATCATTAAAGAATGTTAGACACCAGTGTAAATTAAGTCTGGAGATAAAAAAAAACTAACATTTAGAACCTGAAAAAAAAAGGGGGACAGATTACTTCAAATCAAATTTCTTCCTTTTATTCAATTATGACCAACCATAAACACACAAGACCCGAATTGTTCTAGCTTGTCTTTAAATATGTTGTAAATCACAAAGACAAAGTTTCGACAATGCACGGCAGCTTGCATTTTACACGCTGTCTCCGCTTCAGCTAGAACCAATATCCGGTGTAGCTCCCATTTGGTGATAGTATCCTTTGTTTCAAGTTGAATGGTATAATACAATCGAGTTGGTAGTATCCGTTAATTGTTTAAAGTTGAATGGTATAATACAATCGACGTGGTAGTATTCTTTGTTTCAAGCTGAATGGTGTATTACAATCGACGTGGTAGAATCCTTTGTTTCAAGTTGAATGGTATAATACAATCGAGTTGGTAGTATCCGTTAATTGTCTAAAGTTGAATGGTATAATACAATCGACGTGGTAGTATTCTTTGTTTCAAGCTGAATGGTGTATTACAATCGACGTGGTAGAATCCTTTGTTTCAAGCTGAATGGTGTATTACAATCGACGTGGTAATATCCTTTGTTTCAAGCTGAATGGTGTATTACAATCGACGTGGTAGAATCCTTTGTTTCAAGCTGAATGGTGCATTACAATCGACGTGGTAATATCCTTTGTTTCAAGCTGAATGGTGTATTACAATCGACGTGGTAGTATCCTTTGTTTCAAGCTGAATGGTGTATTACAATCGACGTGGTAGAATCCTTTGTTTCAAGCTGAATGGTGTATTACAATCGACGTGGTAATATCCTTTGTTTCAAGCTGAATGGTGTATTACAATCGACGTGGTAGTATCCTTTGTTTCAAGCTGAATGGTGTATTACAATCGACGTGGTAATATCCTTTGTTTCAAGCTGAAAGGTGTATTACAATCGACGTGGTAATATCCTTTGTTTCAAGCTGAATGGTGTATTACAATCGAATGGTAGAATCCTTTGTTTCAAGCTGAATGGTGTATTACAATCGACGTGGTAGAATCCTTTGTTTCAAGCTGAATGGTGTATTACAATCGACGTGGTAGAAACCTTTGTTTCAAGCTGAATGGTGTATTACAATCGACGTGGTAATATCCTTTGTTTCAAGCTGAATGGTGTATTACTATCGACGTGGTAATATCCTTTGTTTCAAGCTGAATGGTGTATTACAATCGACATGGTAGAATCCTTTGTTTCAAGCTGAATGGTGTATTACAATCGTCGTGGTAATATCCTTTGTTTCAAGCTGAATGACATAATACAATCGACGTGGTTATTATATCCTTTGTTTCAAGTTGAATGGTGTAATACAATCGACTAGGTAATATCCCTTATTTCAAGTTGAATGGTATTCTACAATCGACGGGATTTGCATTTTATATTTTTTTTTTTTACAATGGAAACAACGTTTTTTTTTATTTACTTTTTATCAACACTTTCAAAAAGCAAGATTTGGTCAGAAATCAATTACGGGACCATTGTCAATGTAAGAATACAAGAATTTAGGATGTCGAGATTGTATTATACCATTTAACTTGAAACAAAGGATACAACCAAACAAACAAACAAAAACAGTAAAAAAAAAACAACCCCAAAATAAAAAAAAATAACAAAACAAAAAAAAAAAAACAATCAAGAACTTATTTTATGATATAAACATTACTAAATAAAACGTGATATTCAATAAAAAACTGCAAATGGGAAATTCGAAAAGGGGAAGTCCATAAAAACTGACAAAATCAACCAACGGAACGAATGGAAAGCAAAGCAGCCAACAATCTGGTATTGTTATCAGGTAATTAATTGAGAATGAAATTATCAATTCGTCCTCACTCAAGGCCGTACGCTGAACGGTAAGTCAAGTAGTATAGAAAATCATATTATGACCACATCTGAACTTAAATCCTCTGCATAACATTTAAATGTTCCTACAATGACTGTTTGTTTGTGTTTAACGCCACTTTCAGCGACCTTTAAGACTGCATATGTTCGGTTTGCAAAATAAGTGAACAACCAATTAGTCACCGGTGACTGGCTGTGATCTTTAGCCCCAATCAAGTTCAAGCAACCTCAGAGTTGACAGACTAATGAATACTGTAGAAGTATTTCCAAACCTCTTGGCGACCGTGGCCGCCTATAATTTATAAGATATACAAACCACATATAAAAATAAGTAGATTTGGTATGATTGCCAACTGGGCAACTTTCCAAAAGAGACCAAATGACGTAGAAGTAATCAATTAAAGTTCACTGTATGGTCTTCAACCATGAGCAAAACCCACTCCCCATAGTAAGCTATAAAAGGCCCCGAAATGACAATTGCAAAACAATCCAAACGAAAAAACTAACGGCCTGATTTAAGTACAAAACAATAAAAAACAAAACAAATATGACATACAGCAACAAACAACAACCACTGAATTACAGGCTCCTGACTTGGGATAGGCCATACAGAATGTGTCGGGGCCAAGTTACACATGCCAATTTGCTGGTGCTCAACCCTCCCCTACCCTGGGACAGTGGTGTAACAGCACAACATAAGAACACACTATAAAAATCAGCCGAAAAGAGGTTTTAAACTTATCAGATCGATTCAAAGCACAAAAAAACCTAACAACTTAAAGCACAAAAGACATAAAGTACACTGAAATCTGAGAGTACCGTCGCAGTTACTGAAAGCTAGGAAATGCCGATTTTGTAAACCTTTACTAAATTCTATTTTCGATGAAAACATTCTAATGGATAATGATAATAAAATAATATGTTTTACCCTATCAAAGCTTGCTCGAAATACTACCTTCTTGTACTCAGGCTAATACTAGCCTGGATGCAGTACATCCTAATACTGAGATTCGTTGGATTGTGTGCTGAGTGCAGAAAAGGACGACCCTATATATTGGCCAGGAGTAAATTTGTGTGCAGAAACGCAGTTCAAAATATAGATCATTGAGTGATTGATTGTTGGTTGCTAATCGAGCTCTAGGCAAATATCTCATGCATATTCCGGCAAAATATAAACGACAAATGAAACATTGAACTGCATATATTTAGATATCCAAACAATGAGTTCATACTAACACTCAGTATATTTAGCATATTTCCAGAATTATTGAATAAATAATACAATCTATATAATGCTAGTTAGTACAAAAACACCTTGACATTTTGGCGGGAATACTAGTCACCTCACTACCCCTTCGGACACCTCTTGGTTTTTCTTTACCCATGATCCTGAAAGAAATGGCGAACATTTGAACCGAAGAAGTGCACCTGATAGAATATTTAAATTTAGTGATTTTTCCTAATAACAGGATTGACAAGTAATAAATCAGTTTAAGGTAAGTTGATTATAAACTGTTGTCCGGGTTGACAAGCGTGAAACATGTATCAAGACGAAGGAACATCATCTAAAATCACGTGCACATATTTACAACTTCTTTATTTTGATTGCAACTTGCCCTACTTACAAAAGTTAAAAAGTTTTAGGTATCAGTATGCATTATTTACAAAATTGTATAATTTCTGACACAAGTTTTGAAATTGCAAAAAAAAAAACGAAAGCGGAAAGGGGATTAAAAAAATGTGAATAAAATAGAGCGTTATAACTAATAATAAGAAATAAATCCGAAATGAATGTTGCAGCTGGAATAATTTGTTGCACTTCCTTTGTTTTCATTTATATATATATATATATAGTAAATAAGTCTTAATGGAAAAGATTTCAATTGGTAAGGCAAAAAGATGTTTAAAAAAGAAATCTTAACTTCATTAGTTTGTATTCTGTATAACTTTGATAATTTATATATATGTTTATAATTATGTATTATCCACCCCATTTACATTATAATTAATTTACTATTTCTTGATTGATGGATAGATTGTGTGTATACAGATTAAAAGTATAAATCCTATTACCATTTCCCCAACATCTTGACAGTAAAAAATTAAAATTGGCATAAACTTTGAGAATTTGTTTTTTTCTTTGACAGAGCACCTGTGTTTTGTTCAGATGTTTTGTTTTGATCTATGATCAGCTGGTATTGATTAATTAATGCCAAGTGTGTAAATTCCATAGTAAAAATGTAAATCTAGACGCTCCATTCAAAGTATCATATGTACAAGATGGCTGAGTTATTGATATAAATAGTAACAATTTAATTTAATAATTCCTTTAAGGGTGTGTTTTTATAATGAGCCAAATGACCTTCAGTCCTTCCTGGAGTGTTTGCATACACAAAACATTTATAATTGGGTTTTAATTATGATCAATAGATCCATAGTGCTATAGACTGGTAATAAAAAGGTTTAAATACGCCTCATGGACTGTTAAAAGATTTAAAAAAATATAATGATATCATTCAACTTTACATCTTTGTTGTGTGATATGATGTCAGGTAATGGCATTTTAGTAAAGGTTTTGAAAATAAACAAGCTTAGAATTACCACAGTCTATTAGGACGAGGATTTACAGAGTTGCTTGTTTATTGACAATACCAACCTTTTCCAAAAAGTAGTCTAGTGGGTTTTAGGTTGGAAATATGGTATAAACCTAGGACAAATCTCTAATATTCCAAGAGAAGGTAGTCATATCATCATATGATCCTTACATGGTAATTGGTAATTGGACCATCTGTAGAGTAATCTAAATGTTATCTCATTGTCCATAGGTTCAGTATTCTGAGTTCAACTTGGCCCAAAATAATATTAATTCTACAATGGATTATTAAACCAGGTTTGATCCACCATTATTTACATAAGGAAATGTTTGTACTGTCAGGAATCGGGAATATGACAGTTGTTTTCCATTTGTTTGATTGTTTGAGCTTTTTATTTTGCCATTTGATTTTCTGTTTTGAATTTTCCTTGGAGTTCAGTATTTTTCTTATTTTACTTTTTATTGGGTGAACTATATTAAAAAGGCCATGTATTAATCAGTATTTATTTAAAGGGAAATCACATTATTGCATTATAAACAGTGAAAAAATACAGTGAAACAGTTATCTATTGTCTGAAACAATCCATAGAACATCCTACCATACAAAATAAACACAATAATATCTTTCAGTTTATTCATCAGTTATTCCATATGTTACTCTGTCCCTATTCTGTTCTGTAATATCAACCAAAATTATGTGTGTTTATTACCACAAAACACAGATCAAGTTTGAATTTTGGTGTCGTCACTTTAACCGTTCTAGAGTTATGCCCCTTTATAAATGGAAAAATTGCACAATTTTTAGTTTCTGTTCTCTAACTTAAGTTTGCCTCAACCAAATGTTATGAAACCTATACACAATGCTTATTACCACAAAATACAGATCAAGATTGAATTTTGGTAGCGTCACTCTAACCGTTCTAGAGTTATGCCCCTTCATAAATGGAAAAATAGCAAATATTTTTGTTTCCGTTCTCTAACTTTAGTTTGCCTCAACCAAATGTTATGAAACTTATACACAATGCTTATTACCACAAAATAAAGATCAAGTTTGAATTTTGGTGGTGTCACTTTAATCATTCTCGAGTTATGCCCCTTTTTAAATGGAAAAAATGCAAAATTTTTAGTTTCCGTTCTCTAACTTAAATTGCCTCAACCAAATGTTATGAAACTTATACACAATGCTTTTTACCACAAAACACAGATCAAGTTGAATTTTGGTAGCGTCGCTTTAATCATTATCGAGTTATGCCCCTTTATAAAGCGAAAAATTGCAAATTTTTAGTTTCCGTTCTGTAACTTAAGTTGCTCCAACCAAACATTATGAAACCTATACACAATATTTATTAACTTACAACTCAGATCAAGTACAAATTTGAGTAGCGTCAATTTTATCGTTCTTGAATTATGTCCCTTTATAATGTTGTATGCAAGGGGTGGCATCATCTGTGTCCATGGGGACACATTCTCCATTTATTTTTCTCAATGTATACTCTCCACTCATCTTTTTTTTCTCAATGATACTCATCTTTTTTTTCTCAATGTATACTCCACACATCTTTTTCTTCTCATTGTATACTCCACACATCTTTTTTTCTCTCAATGTATACTCCACTCATCTTTTTTTTCCTCAATATATACTCCACACATCTTTTTGTGCTCAATGTATACTCCACTCATCTTTTTTTCCTCAATGTATACTCCACTCATCTTTTTTTCCTCAATGTATACTCCACTCATTTTTTTTCCCTCAATGTATATTCCACTCATCTTTTTTTTCTCAATGCATACTCCACTCATCTTTTTTTTCTCAATGTATACTCCACTCATCTATTTGTTCATATATATATATATGCTGTTCAGGTTAATTAAGTCATTCTGTTCTGATTAACAGTGACATACATTATTCTGTTGTTTAACTCAACACACAAACCAGTTCTCTCATACAATAGTTAAATTTAGTCATCTTTTCGTTAATTAAAGCAAATTTCTGCAAACTGTGAACTTTAAATATTGGAAAATTATAAATTTTGTATTATCAAACTTCTTTTAAAAATTTATTTCAGTATTATAAACATACCTTTGCATTTCTATACATGGGTTCATCAGCCATTCAGGGAGAAGATTTTATTCTTTCGTTCTTCTTTGTGTTTCTTGAATAAGGATAGTTTCACATGTTAATGTTAGATAAATTGCAATGGAATTTTTATGATAAAAAAATGCATAATAATTTTCTTGTGCAATTTCTTTTAAAAAACATAACATTTCCCCACTGATTTTAACAGTTGTGATATATTTTATAGATAGGAATCACACAATGGCAGTCGTGGTCACAGCATAAAAGTAACAAAAGTTTTTACAGGTGAGTCTGAAATGATACATATCTACCAAATTTAATTAAGTTACATTTTGATAACTTAATAATGTATAATTGAGGTGACAGCCAATTTAGAACTGTAGTTCAATAGGTGTGCTTATATCTGTATGTTAATGGAGTATGTTAAGGCTTTTACAAATTATAATAAAGGAGTCAAACATTTGGTTTTACCTGGAAAGTCTAGAAAAAATTGACATATTCGTGGATATAATTTATGTGTATTAGAGTTTTTTTTGAAGATATGTACAGAGGCAGTTTTCCTTTAAGGTCAGTTTAGAATATATTTTCTTCGTAGTAAATCTGGCATGAATTTTTTATATACTTACCTCTTTGTAGTAATTACTTGAAAAGTATTTTGCCTATAATCTGTACTTATTACAGAAAACAGGTGTAAACAGAATGATTTGAGTAAGTTATGGCAAAGTTATGAAAGTTGAGATCCTTTGGGAGGGATCTAGTGTGGGAATTTTTGAAAACAGATATTTTGGGAGGGGTCTATAAACTAACTATGAATGAAGATGTCATAAAAATTATCAGAAAAGATGTTTGGATTAATATAATAAGAGAGGGTGAAGAGAAGGGACTGTTTACAAGACATAAGTTGTTACGCCATAATTAAATTTATTTAATATGCATTCATGTCCTGAAAATTTATTTAGAATACATTTAAAGTGAATTAAATTTGAAGTAGTTTATGTAAAAAGTATTTTACAAGTTTATGTAAAAAGTATTTTACAAGAAAGGAAGAAAAATATGTGGATCACTCCTTTTTAATGCATGCATTGCTTATTTCTATAAATTGTGAGATTCTTTTATTGGATTCTGATACTTTTTCTTTCAAAAAATAATTTTAGATTTTAATTACTACCGAGGAACCCTGTTGATTCTTTTCTGAATATTTGAATTAACATGATTATCATTTTAAATATTAACAATTCATCTGAAATGGTTTTTGAAATGTTGATGCAATTCTTATTAGGCTGAAACAAATGAGTAAAAAAATTTCAAGATTATTTCAAGTAAATTTTGTAAAACTGTTTCCCCATAGGGAGCCCCACATGCACGAAAGTAGGAGAAAGAATGCAGCATTATCTGTAGTAAATTGACTACTCAGCTGTGTTTTGGCAGTTGTAAGATTATTGTGTGATTCACTTACATTTATCACTAAACACATAATTTACAAAAAAAAAAGAAAATTGTAAACACACAAAGATAGGAATTATTAGAAACATTTACTAAAAAGTTTAATCAAATGCATTTTATTGCTTCAAACATAATTTACATTACCACAAATTACTTCAAAACAATGTGTATTTTTAGTTGGACTAAAGACGACTTTTGATGATGAAATTTAATTTTTGTCTTGCCTTTTAATACCTTAATATATGATTCAACTTTAACATCGTAGAATGAAAAATTTTCATGGAGGTTGTTCGTGTTCTAAGACCTTGTCACTGTATCATTGTCTCTTGATCTTTACCACATTTTATATACTCAATCAGGTCAAGTTTTCATGATTTTATATATTCATCAATTATTATATATCATAGGTTAGAAATATATGTCAAACATGCATATATGTATATGACCTGATCTTTTATTTCACCCAGCAGTGGTCAGTTGAGGTCTGTTCCTTTGCTCTATATATTATAAGACCTTATAGGTCAACAAGTTGATATATGAGGAGAAAATGTCTGATTGACATATGTCATATTGCCTTGACCACATCTTCATTCTCAGGAATAGGTGTGTAAGAGGACAAGTGCACCAAACAGGTTTCATTTGAAATTGGCCTCAGTTTAAAAGTTTTTTTCACTCTATTTACCCTAACGTTACTTTAAAGTATTGCAAAAGGTGAGACATCAATTCTTGTTTAAAATTTGGTCAGTCTTTTGAATACCAAGCCCAAGATTTGTACACACTTTACACAGGGGTGTAGGAAATGATGGATAATAGAAATTTAATTCCTGTAGAAATTTTATAACACAACACCATAAAAATACAACTGATTGCATAAACTGCATACGAAACAACTTACTGATATTGCACAGGAAACACCTGCCTCAGATCTGCATTTCTGTTGTATATTTGTCATTTGTGCACTTTTGAAAAATAAAACATCGCTTAAACTGAATCAAAAAGTATGTACATGTGTAATAATCTTTGTCATTTAATCTATACTTTATTCATCAGTTATCCCCCGTCCCTCCCTCCTTCAACACACACATACATCAAATGGGCCTTTCCCAGATTTAATATGACATGGACAGCTGAAATTCAGCTAACATATATTTCAAATAGAAAGAAATTTGGGTACTTTCAGATTTTTATTACATCACTATCTAGTAGAAAAATAATTATTCATGCTTTTAGATAACTTATAATATTATATCTGTAGTATGACCCAATTTTAAAACAGGACAATTCATTTTCTGAATTTAGACTGTTAAGGGTATTTTAATAAGATTTTTATTACCAAATGAAGAGGTACAAAACACCCCACTGCTTATAAGGAAGTAGTATCCTTAGATAATGAATGCATAGAAATCTTCTGTTAAAGTAGAGGTGTACTTAATTTACTTCTCCCATAATAACGTGTCAGATTTGAATAAAATTAACAGAAATGAGGTATAACTCAATAACACAGTGACCCAAACGACCTGAAAAAAAAACCAAACAACATCCCCATAATCTCTTCCTGTTTCTGTAACAACCTTTTTTTTTTCTAAATAGGCCTGTTGTCACTTTCAAAGTTTTCTTGTACAAGTTTTCATGGTCAAAGTTTTTGATGGATTTTTTTTATAGTTACAACCGTCAAAGAAAACTAGGATCAAAAACTTTGACTGACTTGGATGGAATAGAATCTCATCCTATTTTTCTTAAAACTTGGATTGACTTGGACGGGAATTATTCAATCACAGTTTTTTCTTTTGATGAAAAATTTTGATAGTGACAATCTATGACTTGCTCCAAGTTTACCTGGTCAAAGGGTTAACTTTGATAATGAAAAGCAGGTTTAAGTAAAGGGAATGCTAATTAGATTATTTGGATTTCTATGACAATAACAATAATAAGATGAGGGCATGTTGCATTTTAGGCATATATACATATATATATTTGCCTTCGGGTTTATATGATCCGGTCATCCTATTTGGACTCTTCAAAATTCAAGAGTCTATCCTAAATTTAGGTAAATTATATGGCCTTCCAAAGACCGTTTCGATTCCTAACATCACTGAAGAGACATTAATTGTCGAAATCCCGATATGGTGTACAAATTTTTGCACCTCATGTTTGCGGTATACCATCTTTTCCGCAAGTTTATTGTTTTTGTCGAGCCTGCGACTTTTGTCGCAGAAAGCTCGACATAGGGATAGTGATCCGGCGGCGGCGGTGGCTACGGCGGCGGCGGCGGCGTTAGCTAACTTCTTAAAAGCTTTATATTTTAGAAGGTGGAAGGTCTGGATGCTTCATACTTTGTATATGGATGCCTCATGTTACGAAGTTTCCGTCAGTCACATGTCCAATGTCCTTGACCTCATTTTCATGGTTCAGTGACTACTTGAAAAAAAAGTTAAGATTTTTTGTAATGTTAGATTCTCTCTTATTATAAGTAATAGGATAACTATATTTGGTATGTGTGTACCTTGCAAGGTCCTCATGCCCGTCAGACAGTTTTCACTTGACCTCGACCTCATTTCATGGATCAGTGAACAAGGTTAAGTTTTGGTGGTCAAGTCCATATCTCAGATACTTTAAGCAATAGGTCTAGTATATTCGGTGTATGGAAGGACTGTAAGGTGTACATGTCCAACTGGCAGGTGTCATCTGACCTTGACCTCATTTTCATGGTTCAGTGGTTATAGTTAAGTTTTTGTGTTTTGGTCTGTTTTTCTTATACTGTATGCCATAGGTCTACTTTATTTGGTGTATAGAATGATTGTAAGGTGTACATGTCTAGCGGGCAGGTGTCATTTGACCTTGACCTCATTTTCATGGTTCAGTGGTCAAAGTTAAGTTTTTGAGTTTTGGTCTTTTTTTCTAATACTATGTGCAATAGTTCAACTATATTTGGTATGTGCGTACCTTGCAAGGTCCTCATGCCCGTCAGACAGTTTTCACTTGACCTCGACCTCATTTCATGGATCAATGAACAAGGTTAAGTTTTGGTGGTCAAGTCCATATCTCAGATACTATAAGCAATAGGTCTAGTATATTCGGTGTATGGAAGGACTGTAAGGTGTACATGTCCAACTGGCAGGTGTCATCTGACCTTGACCTCATTTTCATGGTTCAGTGGTTATAGTTAAGTTTTTGTGTTTTGGTCTGTTTTTCTTATACTATATGCAATAGTTCAACTATATTTGGTGTATGGAAATATTTTATGATCTATTTGGCAGTCACACAGGTTTTATTTGACCTTGACCTCATTTTCAAGGTTCATTGCTCAGTGTTAAGTTTTTGTGTTTTGGTCTGTTTTTCTTAAACTATAAGCAATAGGTCAACTCTATTTGTTGTATGGAAGAATTGTTAGCTGTACATGCCTGCCTAGCATGGTTCATCTGACCTTGACCTCATTTTCATGGTTCATTGGTCAATGTTTAGTTTACTTGGTTAATGTTAAGTTTATGTGACAGTTGTAATAAAGCTTTATATTTAGGACTATCAACATAATATCAATGATTAGTAAAGAAGGCGAGACATTTCAGCGTGTGCACTCTTGTTCTGTTTGGTATTAAATTGATAATAAAGATCCATTTTGTTACATCTTGTGATCCGTTTATTTGGCAATCGCCAATGGCTGTCAGCAGGGTTTAAGAACATCTGTTGTTCGACCTGTTAGTCAAATGCGTTTTGTTTAAATATACTTTTTAACTTTTTTGGTCTTTTGGAAAATGTTGTTTGCGGTTTTTATCCAACGCAATCATAGGTTTGAACGTTGTTTTCAATTTAGACTTATTTATATTTTTTAGTTTGGGCTTGTA